GAGCTTTCCTGTTTTAGACAAGAGTCTGGTGGACTACATGTTGCATGTTTAATTTGCTTCAAAGGTGTTCTGGAATTGATTAATCGAAATTCATGGAAACCCACTCTGTCTATGGGAAGGAAGATCTTATTTATTTATTTATTTATGTATCATACGTATTTATTTATTTATCAATCATATTTATATAGCCACCCATCTCACACAAGGTGATCTTGATTTCCTTTCCAAATATCAGGAAGCTTAGATGAGGTATGTCATTCATGCATAGCTTAAAGCCCAGATCCTGACCTTTCTGGAGCTTTTGAAGCAACCCCTGATTATGCGCTGAAATTCAGTTGCATGTTTTAAAAGGATGTTTTATGGTATGCGAGAGTGTATCATGACTACCCCTCTGATCAGAAGAACCACTAATAAAGACTGGGTATTTTTCAGTCACACTCTCCCTGCTCTCATAGTTGAAAATGAATAAATAAAAATTAGAAATGAGGCAACCAGCCACAGAAAGTTTATCCAACCCTAGTAAGAGAGAAAAGCAAGGAACGAGGTCTCCTTTACACAATGTTGGCTTTCCTACACATTCATCCTGACTCCGTTAAGGTTAATAGAGCTTGTGTTCTTCACCTAACAGTATATCTTTTCTCCTAGCTAAAGACTATGTAAACAGCCCTCCCCAACCCAGTGTCCTCCAAATAATTAGTTTACTGATTCATTCTTTTTTTTTTCTTTCCTGCAGCAATCAAGGGGTATGACAAGATCGCAATATTATTTGGTCCTATTAGGTATCAGATGCTCTCCCAGATCATCCAGAGGCCAGCAGCTGGGGAAGGCTACTTTCAAAAAACCATCTCAAAAATACTCTATAGATGGAAGCTCCCACCTGGTTTGGTGTTGGTGTGTAAAGGATATGAAAATGATCTTTAGCCTACCATTTTAGAACTGCAGCTAACTTCAGTAAAAACAGCTGGGGGAAAAAAGTACAGCCGACAATTGTAACTTTCTGTTAGAAAGCATATCTCTAGTTCTTACAGACCCTGTGGAAATGATCATCTGGTAGGGTTCAGACCTTGGGCTAACCTACTAAACCATGATTTTTGACAATGATGATTTATTAGATTAAGAGGCTGTCCGACTCCAGAATGAGTCAGGGTGGTCTATACTTAAAAAATAGAAAATATTAAAAAGAAAATCTTATGGTTCCAGACAAACCACATTCCAGGTACCATAAAACACAAGTGACAGGGGCTCCACAAACACCCTACCCCAAGGCCTGGGAGAACAGCCAAGTTTTTAAAGACTTCTGGAACATTGTCCAGGTGGAAGCCAACCACATCTGTTAAATAACTCCCTACAAATGAGTCCGCGTGACACAACAAGCCCAAAGCAAAGCAGCTACATGATGGCTTTGCATGATGTGTAATTCCAGCCCCTATTAAGGTTGAAAGTCTAAGGACCCAGGGAGAGTTGCAGCCATAAGCAATTGATAGAAATATCCAAGTTTTTAAAAATCAGTCTTTTAAAATAGCCATTTAATATTAATATTTGTAGTATTTTTATTCAGTAGGTGCTTATATCTAAGCGCAGTCGTCAACTTCAATTAAACTGTTGTTTAAAGTGTGAAATGTTAGCCAGAAAATGTGGGGTGGGGTGGGGTGGGGAGACAGTATATTTGCAAGTACTCTTATACAGCTGGATGCTACTCTGAAACTTGACTCAGCTTGGAACTGAAAACTGGCAAGTTAAACCAGCTCACTGATCTACGAGGCACCATCTACACCAGCTTTCCCCAGCCTGGTGTTTTCCCTATATGTTAGACTAAAACTCTAATACAGTGTTGTCCAAACTTGGCCACTTTAAGATGAGTGGACTTCAACTCCCAGAATTC